TAATCGATTTCACTGTTGCAAGGGAGGGAAGCACACTGATTGACCAAAACGCAGGTGAGGGTTGACTCAGACAATGATTATTGATTTGGATCCCAAGACCCATGCCATTGAGCACCTCATCATTATGAGGTGGTTTGTCCCCTGGACATCCCCTTTTCTTAAAAACATTAATTTTCCTTTTTCTAACAACTAATGATGATGTTAAATTCCCTTTTTTTTTTCAATCCTTAAAGTATAAAATTATTGTACGTGATCTAATAAATCCCGCATGCATGCTTTTGCGTGGCGTGACATAGGTCCAAGCAAAAAGGAGAGGAAAAAAAAATTAATTATACGTGCGCCTCCTTTAATTTCCGCTCCATTTCTGTTGCATAATGATGTAAAGCCCTATATTTCAGACCATTGAAAGGTACAGAGATGAAAAGTATAAACATCACCAACAAGGGTCATCTTCTTCTCGGCCAAATATTTAGAAAAACGCATAAATTTATGCCTTCATGACATAAATATTCTCAATTTTTTACGGTCCTACAAAAATGTACGAAGTTTCACTTGAGGAGCACAAGTACGAACCTTTGAGTTTTCCATCCATACTAGATGATATGGCATTTGATGTGGTTAACGGCGCTGAGGTGTACTATATAAACGTCGGCAATGCAACACAAGGCCACTTCTTTTGAACCAAATGATACCATTTTTGAGTTTTCTAAATCAAACACTTGATCCATTTCAATATAATAAGAAAAGGAGACAAAAAAAAAAAGCAGCACAAAATTTGAAAGAGTTAGGGCTTTTGAACTGAGTCATTTTTACCGCAAATGTATATTAGTTTTTGAAAAGGAAGGATAGTTTTGTTCAACAAGTATAAGTTCATGCATTTTTTTTGAAATATTTAGCCTATTTTCCTCCCACCCTGTTTGGAGAATTTCTCCAACTAACCTTGTGACCGATTGCTTACAAGTATAAATATCATCAGCCTTTAATATATATACATATATATATGGGTGATGTCCACACTGGAAACCTATCTATCAAAGACGTGATAGAAGGAAGTTGTCACGAAACTCATAAAACAAAAGGGCAAAATACATATAACCCATCTTAATTTTAGGCTCCGTTTGTTTCGTGAAAATAAATTATTTAGAAAATATTTTCCGAAAAAGAATTGCTTGTATCTTTTGAAATAATTAGCCAATTAATAATATTTTTATTGTCGGTAACAATTTATATCTAAATAATTTCGTGGATGATAAAAATATTTTTCGTTTGTTAATTTTTGTAAGTGATTCAAGCGATTATTTTTTGAAAAATATTTTTTAAATTATTCATTTTCCGTGAAACAGCTGTACCTTTAATAATTTTATCACTTCATATCCTCTCCTTTTACAAATGCATCTTCGCATCCTCGGGCGAATTCACGTTATTGAAAAGACCAATTAGTTCTCCTTTAAGGAAACCCCAATCGCTCACAACCCCTTATCTTCCCACCACCCCATCAGTACCACCCGCTATCTTCATCTGCCTCCAAGCATTGTACGCATTCTCAACACCGCCTCGACGACTGTTCTCGGCTCTGCTCTACAACAATTTGGGCTTTTTTTATTTTGCGGAAAGTGAGTGATTTGTAAAATGTTTTTTTTTAAATAATTAATTGTATCGCTTGAAATAATTAATCACTGAAAAATATTTTCATTATCGACAATAATTTACGTCTAAATAATTTCGTGGGCAGTGAAAAAACTTTTCATTCGTTTATTTTTGTTAGCGATATAAGCGTCAAATTTTAAGAAAATATTTTTCAAATCATTTATTTTCCACGAAAAAAACAGAGTATTCATCACTTTTCATCCATCTGTTATAGATGCATCTTTGCATCATCGGACAAGTTCGCATGACCGAAAAGACCAATTTGTCGTCCTTTGATAAACCCCAATCGCCCACAACCCCTTATCTTCCCACCATCCCATCACTACCACCCGTGATCGTCGTTTGCGTCCGAACGCCATCTGTACCCTCAGCACCGCCTTGACTATCGCTCTCGGCTCTGCTTTGCATCATCTCTCTCTCTTGACTGAGGAAGAAACAACCTTAGATTGAGGTTCTTTGTGACAACTAATAGGGCTGGACATATAAAGAAGAGAGTTGATGATTCCATTTTCATCGGGCAAGGAAAAATCGTCCAAAAAGTCCTATACCAACTGCACTTATGCCAATTCAATTGTGTCAAGTTAGTCCTAAGACTTTTCACATTTTACCAAATGAGTTCATCTGATTGATTTTGGCTGGAAATTACTGACATGGATGCTAGCCGTCCTACGTGATACAGCCGACGTTAACGTGAACAATTTTTAATAATATTTTAATATTTTTTCGATTTTTTTATTAATTTTTTTATTTTTCCCTTTTTTTCTTTTCATCTATATTCCTTCTTGTCATCAGCCATCAATGAGGCCCGACAATGGCCGGCGGAGGAAAAAATAAAAATAAAAAAATAAAGAAAGAAGAGAAAAGGAAAAAAAAAGAAAAAAGTAAAGAAGGAAAATAGAAGAAAAGAAAAAAATTAGAAATTTAAAAAATTAAAATATTATTAAAAGTTGTCAACGTCAGCACCAGCCGTATCACATAGGACAGTCAGCGTTCACATCAGTGATTTCCGGCCAAAATTGGTAGGATGGACATAATTGCAAAACGTGAAAATGTTTAAAATTCAATTGACATAATTAAAATGTTTATGACAGATTCGGCAAAAGTGTAGCACATTTATGAATTTTTGGACAATTTTCATGATCAGGCAATAGCCACTCAAACAACAATTAGCTACTATCCTTACACACTCAAGGCCTCTTTCTGTCTTTGTGGTCGTTGTCGTAAGATCTAATTTGTGGGTTTTAAGCAAAAGATTACAAAACCTCAAACACACTAATGGAAAAATAAGGAAAAATGTATAAAATGTCCTAAACCTATTATATGACCCTTAATTCATTCGTTGACATGGAAGCTAGCCGTCTTACGTGGCATGACCAAGAATCCAATGTGTCTGTTGGGGCTCAAAATGACATTTTTCCAAGAAAAAATTTCAATTTTTTTATTTTTTTGTTTTCTTTCCTTTCTTTTCATTTTTTTTCTTCATCTTCTCAGATTTTTAGCTGGCCGAGTCGCCAAGGTCTCGGTGATGACCGGCGACCCTCGCCTATGACTCGCCAGCCATCACCTGGCTCGGGCGACCCTGTCGATTAGAAATCTAGGAAAATGGAATGAAAAAAGAACAAAAGAAAAGAAAAGGAAAAATAAAAGAACTTTAAAAAATCTCAAAACAACGTCGTTTTGAGCCCTGTTGGACACGTCAAATTGTCGGTTGTGGTATGGCTGGTGCTAACTAGACGCCATGTCAACTATTTTCGGCTTAAATTAGCTAGATAGATTACTTAAAAAAAATTGCCAAAAAATTTAAGGCTACATTGGTCAAATCGGAAAGCTTAGGAGTAATTGTTGGTTGTACAATAGGCTTAGGACTTTTTAAACAATTCTCCCGTGAAAAATCTACCCTAAACACCACTAGAGAGAGAGAGAGAGAGAGAGAGAGAGAGAGAGAGAGAGAGAGAGAGAGAGAGAGAGAGAGAGAGAGAGAAGGTGCGGATTCAGTCATTTGTAGTGTTATTTGTTTCAATTTAAAACAAAATCCATATTGGGGGCCTCTGCAATCTGTCTGTTTGCTATGTAGTAACGGCGGGCTCTACGGATATATTTTTTATTTTAACGTACCGATGACCGCACGCCCCACTCCGCCTCATAAGTTGGGGGATAATTTTTCTTTCCTCACCCTAGGAAATACCCCCGTGTTTTAACGACCTAGAAGTCATACGAAACATTTTAAGGACAAGCTTAGATCCAAAATATAAGCATATTAGAGCAATAGTAAAAACGGAGCCTTTTGATTGGAAAAATCATAAGAATAGCTAAAGGAGGAGGCGCTAAGATTCGATAGTACTAGTCTAAGGCTATGAAGCCTTCACTTTATGAGATTCTCCAACTCTCTATATTTACTCATCCATTGGCTAGCCATTCGAGTACCAATTAGTCAACGTCCGTAATTATCAAAATTAAACATATTCTAACAACTAATAGCAATAATCTACAAAACTCTGGAAATAAAAAGGGCAAATGAAAAGGAGAAACTAAAATTGAGAGGGGGATGTCATATGTCTTGGTAATACCAAATTAATATAGAAAACTTGCTCATTAAAAATTTATCATAGAAAGAGATCCTCGCAGTCAAGCCCCTTTTCCAAATAACAATTCATTTATAATCATAACTAACGACCACACGAGCTATCGAAGAGTTGGTACCCTCCATATAGTTAAAGGCATCGAGATTTTTGCGAAAATTTTTGATATTTTTGGATTAGTATCAGTAATTTTATTATAATATAGAGAAACATGGGGCGAGGCGAGTGTGCTTAGTTAATATTTTTCGTCTTTCGTATTTAATAGGTACGAATTGACACATGTCAAGTTAAGATATCGAGATAGAATAGAGGGATAGGGGGCGGGATCGATCTATCCATCGTTGCACAACCTCCGCCTCAACTAGATGAGAGTCTCCTCACGCAAGATCGGCCACGGTCGTCGAATCACCTCGACCATCTCTCTCTCTCTCTCTCTCTCTCTCTCTCTCTCTCTCTCTCCTTCTCTTCCTTCGGCCGCGCCCGCCGTTCCCCAGTCAATCGCGAAAAGAATAAAAAAGAGAAAAACAAAAAGAAAAAGGGAAAAAAAAAATCCAAAGTGTGGGACAAAACATCAACAAAGGAGAGGGAAAAGTCATTATATCGCTAAAGAAAAATTGTCAAAAGGTGTCACGGCTGTGCCCTGATGTCGCCCTCGACACAAAATTCTCCCTGCTGCGCACTCATCCTTTGCTCTTCTTTTGTATTACTTGAGAGGAGGTGAGTGGGGCATTGCTCAGGTGATCCTTCCTATATATACATATAAATCCCACCTCCCTCCTTCAAGCTCCCTCTACACCTCTCCCCCTACCCTTTTTCCCTTTCTTTGTTTCCTTGAACTTCCTGTTGTCTTTGCTACTTTGACTGAGCCTAAAAGGCAAAACATATCAACCCCATTCACACACACGCATAGAGGCAGAACCAAGCAAGCAAAGCTGAGCGCACACTCAGACCAGAGAAGAGGAGGAATGAAGGAGAGCGGCGGGGGAAGGAAGCAGGGGACGCCGTCGCCGTGCGCGGCGTGCAAGCTGCTGCGGAGGAGGTGCGCGCAGGACTGTGTGTTCGCCCCTTACTTCCCGGCTGACGAGCCCCACAAGTTCGCCAACGTCCACAAGGTCTTCGGCGCCAGCAATGTCAACAAGATGTTACAGGTTCATCCCCTCCCCCCCTGTTTTTTTCTCTTTTCTCCACTCCACTCAAACTCTCTGACTTCACCAAGTTTACATAAAGTGATAGGTTATGCACCTCATCTCTATAAGATCATGTGCTACTTGTTCCATACAATCGTTGATGTATCTTAGATTTCTTTAAGCAGAAGGTTCGCGTGAAGCGTTGAGCTATTAGTATAGTTCTTTGCTTCTTGCATTGCTTGTCATGAGGATTAGTTACATGCTTTAGGTCCTTTCACTAACTTTTTCTCCTTATGGTCCACTTTTCTCCTTATATTTTATGGTGGTAATACGCGGTTTGTGGAGAGATAACCAATGATCGTAAACCAAATAATTTTGTTTTTCTATATAATTCTCCCAAGGTTTAGTTTTGTCTCCCCCGTGTTAAAAGATTTAGACATGAAAGGGATTGATTTGACTCTTATAACTTGAGAGATTTAATCTATACCTATAAAAAAAAAATAGGAGCTAGTAGAGACATATGGTAGGCTCACTAAAGTCCATCAGCTAGGTGGATAGGATAACAAGTTTCTACAGACACAACAGACGAGACAGAAAACTATATAGCGCTTGAATACATGTACTATTTGAATGTTGAAATTAAAAGTTTAGGCCATTAAGTGAGAGAAAACTATATTCATGTAAGGAAAAATAAAGCCCATAGACCAACAATTTGAAATCGATGAACATGGAGTTTCACAAGCAAAAATCAGGTTATGATATCATTTCAGAATGTCCAATTTGAAAATTTAAGTTATTAGGTAGAAGAAGACTGCGTTCATATGGTGCAAAATATGAACCCCATAAATTAACAATAAGAGCTACTTTATGTGCCATCCTATGTACAGAGCGTGACTTGTTCAAACATACGTGTCAAAAGAATTATCTTAACACTCAATAAATAATACAAGTTGGGTGAACTTTCTTATTAAAATGTCTCTGACATTGCTTAACTAGTAAACTTAGGGACATTCTACTTCATTGCCAGCTTCCGTACCAAGGTCCACATGAGCACATTTGATGCCACTCGCATCAACCTTTTTCAACAAATGTTTAGATATAATCATCTCGCTCGCGTCATTTTGATAAAGGGTTCAAAGTCATCTCTCTCTCTAGATACAACTTTAATCTCAATTCTTTTCCCACTGTTCGATTTTTTTTTTTTTTTTGAAAAACATGGTTTCACACTCTATAGTCAAATCGCATGTTCATCTAACAATATAAAGTTTTTAAGATAATTGGAAGTAGTCTCACAAAATTTTACACGGTATCGGAAGAAAAGGTCCCGCTCTAGACCCCTTATTTGCTTACCGTATTGTACAAAGTCCAAGACCAACTTACGTGTAAAAAGAAGTATTATAATATTTAATTATTAGATCACACATTCATTTAATAATTTAAATTTTCAGAGTAATTGATAGTGATCTGACAAAATTTACCGGGCAGCAATTCTGTTCTCGGTCTACTCTGAAAATTCCTGCATACTAATCAAAAGAAAAGAAAAAGGGGAAAGAAAACCCAATTTTCTTTATCTTGTTGGGGATAGCTTTTTTGAAAAACGCCTAAAGCCATACACACATCATGACAAAGCAGGTACATCAAAAGAAGTTTCAGGACTACATGTCTTCATCTTTGATGTCCCATTCATTGTTAACCCTCACCTTTTTGACAGTTTGTTGCTAGGACAAGTGCCCTTCGAGAGAGAAAAAACCAAAGCACAAAAGAGAACGTAGAAAAAGGGTCGGTCCACACACATACGCCAGTAAAATATTCAGATTTGGTTTCTAGATCCTACCCTTTTTCTACGTTTTCACCATTTTTATTGGATCACGTGAAGCTGTTTCCAACCAAAAACAATAGCATTCTCTCGCAAGAAAATTGGACATTCCACTTCTAGATTTTTCTCTGGGGTCCCATTTGATTTGCGAACATGGAAAATTCCGAAGAGAGTAACTTTTCAGTAGCCACTTACACGTGGTGTGGGCCACGCATAAATAGTCTCTTATATATAATAACAAGACATGGAAATCCGGCTTATCGATCTGCGTCGTCACGAGTTCAATTTAATATGCTTTACTTTCGTAAATTAGGAGAATTACAACAGTGAAGATTATTTAATTGGTATGAGGACAAATGATTTCCACCAATTACTGGAGAAGTTCCCGACATAATGCCGTGCGCCCACTGTCGGCAAAATTTGAACTCCCACGGTTCATAAAATCCTCGATTTTGTCGACAAGAAACAGAGGAAAAAATTACAAAAGAAAAACCAATTTTGATCTAAGTCTATGCTGTAGATTTAATCTGTAGTTGTCCATGGAATTTGATACAAGTGTTACTTTTATAATTTTTTTTTCGAAGTTTAGATTAGTTTTTCGAAAAATTAAAGAAATACTTCTTTAAATTTATATTCCCATCATCTTCTTTTGGGTTTAAACTTTGAAGAATGTCTTAAGAGAATATGTTCCATCTCAAGTCATTTAATTTTGATTTTTCTTGATGTTTGTATGAGATGTACTAAGTTCCTCAAGCAATTCCAAAAGAACGTTAAATTTATTTAGTCATAAAGTTGACTCAAATTAATTAATTAAGCTCTATAATGCATAGTCATGCATCACCATGTACGTGTGATCATTGACTCACTTGTGCAAGAGAAACTTTCCAGGACCTACCGGTGCACCAGCGCGGAGACGCTGTGAGCAGCATGGTCTATGAAGCCAACGCCCGAGTACGGGACCCGGTCTACGGCTGCGTTGGGGCCATATCGTCTCTCCAGCAGCAGATCGACATGCTCCAGAGCCAGCTCGCCCAGGCCAAGGCCGAGGTGGTGCACCTCCGGGTCTGGCAGAACGCGACCCTATCTAACCACGGTCCGAACCCGGCCAGCCCGAGCAACAGCGGGTCGCCTTCCTCGCGGCTCATGGCCTCCCAGGGCAAATCGATTTTCGAAATGGACATGATGGTGGACCAGCCAAGCTTGGGAGATACAATGTGGTGAAGCTTACCTTTTCCTAAACCACCATATACCGAATATACTTTTGGAGCCTATGATTCTAAACCAGCTCTCTCTTTCTTCTTTCTTCTTTCTTCTTTCTTCTTCTTCTTTTTTTTCCCCTCATTTGAAGAAATCTTAGATTTCGATTCGATGTATATCCCACATGAGCCGTAGAACGGCGGCGCCGCCACAGTGGATGATGGCTGAGCGGCCGCGGTAGGAGGAAAGGGTGAAGGCTATTCACCCGCAGTTTTTATTTTCTAAAAGGGTCACTAATTACTATTGACCTCAATGTAGCTATAGTCTTTTTTCGACTTTACCAATGTGAGTAATACTATATAATTATAGTGGATTGTGCACTTATGAAACAAAGTGTGTTGCATATGGATTCACCTTGTCGTGTACTTTTTTGTTTTTTGTTAATGTGGGCGAGTGGCAAGAACACGTCGCTAGGCAGTATATAATATTATTATGATAATAATGCTTGTTTATTTCCTCAAGGATTAATACCACAAAAAATCCCAAATTGATATAGTTGTAATAAATTTATTATTAACTAATTTTTTAACCACCAAAATCCCAAATAAGTATACCTATAATAAATTTATTCCAAACTAATTTTTTGACCATCAAAAATCCTAAACTGGTACAATTGTGACAAATTTATCCTTCGTTAAGTTGGATTAATACCACAAAAAATCACAAATTAGTAAACCTGTGTAAAACCTTAAATTGGTACACCCGTCAATTGTTACGTGTTATCCAACTCGGCAATTTGAAGGTAAAATTTAACGAAAATAAACGGAGGGTAAATTTGTCACATATCTATCAGTTTGGGGTTTTTTATGGTCAAAAAATTAGTTTTGAGTAAATTTGCTACAGGTATATCAGTTTAGGGATTTTCATGGTATTAACCATTTTGTTTATTGGGTATTCTTGATTCTTAGCAAAAGTTTTAATATTTTTTGTTGTTGTAGGAGTGCATATCACAGGTCACCTTTGGGAGCCAAAGGAAGAAAAACACAGCCACTTTTCTTAAGGATGGAGTTACTTTCACATCATTTTTTGACTAAAACAAGTCCTTTTTTTAGGTTGATTGATCAAACGAGCCTCCAATTTTGATTAAGTGTGTGTGGATATTTAGTGGGTTAATATCACAAAAAACCCTAAATTAATACACCTGTGACAAATTTATACTAAACTAATTTTTTAACCACCAGAAAGCCCAAACTGATACACTTGTGATAAATTTACCCTCCGTTAATTTCCATTAAATTAGATTAATAAACTGGTATACCCGTGATAAACAGAGAGTAAAACCCCAAACCAGTACACCTGTCAATTGTCACGTGTCATCCAACTCTGCAATTTGACGGTAAAATTTAACGGAAACAAACAAAGGATAAATTTGTCATAGGTGTACCATTTTGAGGTTTTTGTTTGTCAAAAAATTAGTTTTGAGTAACTTTATCACAAGTGCATCAGTTTGGGATTTTTCGTAATATTACCGCTTTCATTTATTGGGTATTCTTGATTCTTAGCAAAAGTTTTAATCTTTTCTATTGTCGTAGGTGTACATATCACAGGTCACTTTTGGCAGCCGAAGGAAGAAAAACACCGCCTCTTTGCTTGAGGATGGAGTTACTTTCACACCAATTTTTTTGACTAAAACAAGTCTTGTTTTTAAGTTGATTGATCAAACTAGCCTCCAATTTTGATCAAGCGTGTATGGATGTTTAGTAATTACACCTTAGGAAAATTAATCATCCATGAATTGCTACAATTTTTTATCTTAATATACTTCAAATTTTTTTTTCCTTTTGCTTTCCCATCTGCACTTAGCATGAAAATAATAATTTACTTTGTCCTCCAAAGGGACAAAAAACAAAACCTATCAAATTTATTTAGCTAGAAACTAGTTAATAACTTGGGTAGAATAGTACTTCGACTCTCCTATAGCAATTTGTGGAACATGCAACTCTTCGATGTCGTTTGGTTATACTTATATAAACAGTTCTTTTTAAAAAAATAAAAACAGTTTCTTATAGGCAAAAATCCTCTTCTCTCCATTCATAATTCGCCGACAATCATGTGCACACGTAGCACGTGCCTCGACACTAGTAAATAAGAAATTAATATTTCTTATTAAATTATTTATAACTGAGTATAAATTTTATTTCATTACACGATAAAATTTAGTTAACAAATAACTAGCTCTATTTAATGATGATAATTAAATTGATTTTAAGGAAAAGATTCAACTTATTAAAGTAAAATAGTAAAATAAGAAAAATGTATGAATCTACCCAACCAAATGTTAGCACAATAAAAAGTATATCTACTACATTACGTGAAGAAATTAATCTTTATTTACTTGATTCAATTATATAATAATTTGTTATGAAAACATTAAATTGATAAATTAGCTTAACTTATTCATATTTATGTTCTTTTTATTTCTTATTTCTTGATCCGATTAAATAAGCTCTAAACGAAATGAAAATAATGAAAAATTGAAATCTATATAGCATATTCAAAATATATAAATGTTGTTTTCATATAATTTATTTACTGCTATGGAAGAGTAGTTAATTTTACCATATATTCCATTGTTTTAGATTAAAAGAATGAAATTTTGGGACCAAAAGGCTCTTCTATTTAAAACATGTATTTCTTATTCTTGGCCACGAAAGGTAAGAGCTATTAGCACCTTTGAAAATTTTGTGGACGACGAAACTGCAAATTCAACCGTAGCCACATTTCATTACCATGACACCTCTCGCATTGATAAAAGCTATTAGCACGTTTAAAATTTTCGTTCATTTTTTTTATAATTAGAATTTGCTAACGTCTAATATAACAATAATTGCACTATTTCGATCCCAGAAATAGACTAATATTTTTAGTCTAATCAAGAAAATATGTTGTTTTGTTGGTTCTAACTAGTAAATATATATTTTAACTAAATAACTTATGAGTGATGTGCACAACCTGTAACCCATCAATCAATGTATGGTTAAAGGATTTTCCTCTAATTAAGAATAGAGAGGATAATATAACCTGTTTGTATAGCAATCACAATAAGCTTTTTAGCATTAGTCATGATCTCATATCAAATTTTCTCGTGACAGATTGCGTTACTAGAATTAGATCCCCATTGTATGCGCTGATCCGAATAAGGATGTGACTTATCAACCCTATATGTTCAAATAGAGCTGACGGGTCTTGTCACAACACGAGATTGTGACTTAAACATGATTGAAATTCACCGATAAAAATTCGAGCACAACACAGTACGATTAGCTCAAAAGTGGCACGAGTTGAGATATGTTTATTATTTTTTTTAAGGAAAAAAAACCTATAAATGACAAAATGCCACCGTTTGTTTTTTCAAATACCCCATTTCGGAGTGCATGAAAAGTAAAATAAGAAAATGGTGGAAAACAAGGAGCTCAATCACCTACCTTTGGTCCTGAGCAGGACCTTAAAAGACTCAAGGAGAAATAGGGGAAGGGACTTCCCGGTATGGTGGAGGCTCCTCCTTGCAAGTTCTCTCCGTATTCCCACTCTCCAAGGATGAAAAAGATTTGGATGGAACTTAGGGGGCTTCCTAGGTGGAGAAGGTAGACACCACGTTAACTTTGGTTGGCTATCGCCGGGTAGACAAGGTTTAGTAGCTTGTCATGCCTAGGATAACCGGAGGGGAAGTTTCGACTTCCTGCAGGTCAGCCTATGCTTCACACAGTGTCTATATGACCGACTTGCTGACCTGTACCCCCAGTTGTATAGACACCGTGCGAATAAGGATGTGACTTATCAACCCTATACATTCAAATAGAGCCGACGGATCTCGTCACGACACAAGATCGCGACTTAAACGTGATTAAAATTCACCGAGAAAAATTCCAACCCGACATGACACGATTAGCTCGAGAGTGTCACAAGTTGAGATATATATGTTTATTAAATTTTTTTATAGAGAAAAAAAAACCTATAAATGACAAAATGCCACCGTGTGTTTTTTCAAACACCCCATTTCGGAGTGCACGAAAAGTAAAATAAGAAAATGGTGGAAAACGAGGAGCTCAATCACCTACCTTTATCCGACCAAAAAAAAAAAATCACCGCCCTTTGAAATTAGCTTAGCAATTCTTCAACCCATTCGCATCCAGACTTTCCCTTTCAAGCATTTTTGTTGGACGAGCCTATTCCTTCTCTTTTCTTTCAAGTGTATTGACTCTGCAAATCTGACCAGCTGTGATTGTGAGCAGTTAGGTAACGATAAGTCTCTCTCTCTCTCTCTCTCTCTCAATCATTCTTAAGAAAACTGAAAACTCTTTAGACAATTTTATAGGGGATAAAAGAAAATTACGAGAATTAGCAACTCAAAAACTTAAGCTAAGGTGGAGCAACTACATATGGATAACGCACATGGTAACCACGCATTCAAACGATGCCAGATTATACTTAACACTCTTCCTCGGATGTAAGCCAATCCCTTACAAGCGCACGACTCGGCTCAATTGCTGTGAAATGGGTAGGGCTCCTATTTTCTACGAGCTAGTTGTTGTGAACCCACCACGGGCAATGAATTTGAGAGAAGAGGCGAGTGTTGGGTTATTAATTCTCGACCTGTGTTCTGGTATTATATTAGAAAGTCCGACCTAATACATTGGGAGAACCGACTCTAATACGATATCAGAAAGTTCAACTCAAAATTTTAAACTATTAGGTGGAGGGAGACTATATGTAAGTAAGGCATATCATAACTATATTTACGTGATGTGGAGTATACTTAATAATTAGAAAGTCTACATGATTTGTTAAACCATCTTGCTTGCTTAACAAAAGAAAATTAGTACATAAATGATCTTAAATTCCATTTTACTCCTTTAAAAATTGGTCAAATCTCACTTTGTCTCCTAAAAAAAAACTTGTGTGCTGCCTTTGTCCACTTTTTCAGCAGTTTCGGTCGTTTTTTCAATCCCCGAATTTCATCAACTTCTTGTAAAGGTTGACAAAAACTTTTCCCAAATTCTGCCTAAATAAAACTGAATCACGCATTTTTTGGAGGAAAAAAAGTTATAAGGCTACAAACTTATTTGAAAAGTACTAGGTCTCACTCGTTTAAGATGTTAAAAAATGAGTTTTGTGATACATCTGAAACACATTTTTCAACACATGTTTAGCACGTAAAACGAGTTTTTCAATTCAAACATAAAAATTATATATCCATAATCACATTAAACAGATGACTCGGGAGCGAAAGCATGTGAGCTAGGAAGACTCTTTTCGAGAAAAAAAAACTCAGGATTCAAGCTTTAATGACCCAATGTTAAACATCGTGCAACAAACTAATGTTGTGTTCAAAT